TTTCCGGAAAAAAACATGGAATGTGCACGCAAATATAGGAAGGCTAAACGGATCTATTTGAGATCTTAGAACACAGAAGTGAAGGCTAAAACTGAAAATGACCTTTCGGGTCATCCTATTCTCCACCTCTAAAACAAACGTTCATCCTCGAACGGACATAGAAAGGTCCCTGGACTGGTGAAATTGTGTGGATATCTGCTCCGCATGTCCGACTCGGACTCCCACGTGGCTGCCTCGATCGGCTGACCTATCCACTGCACTAGAACTGAAGGATAACTCTTAGACCTCAACTATTGGACCTTTCGGGCTAGAATAGCCATCGGCTCCTCCTCATAAGTCAAATCCTTGTCCAATTAGACTAAGCTGAGATCTAACACATGGGACAGATCACCGTGATACTTCCAGAGCATGGACACATGGAACACCGGATAGACTTCTGATAAACTAGGTGGCAATGTGAGCCTGTAGGGCGAACGACATACCTAGGTCCAATATACCTAGGGCTCAACTTTCCCTTCTTTCCGAACCTCATCACACCCTTGATGAGTGATACCCGGAGTAATACCCTCTCTCCAACCATGAATTCAACATTACGAACTCTACGATCGACATAATTCTTTCGCCTAGGCTGAGCTATGTGAAGTTGATCTTGAATCATTCTGACCTTTTCCAAGGCATCCTGAACCAAATCAATACCCAACAACCAAACATGTACCGACTCGAACCATCCAACTGGCGAACAACATCACCTCCCGTATAATGCTTCATAGAGAGCCATCTGAATGCTTGACATATCCATAGCAATATGCTCCCACTTCCACTGAGGAATCTCTAGCCTCTTAAGCAAACCACTAGGCCTTTGATGCTCATACTTTACTTACTAAGAATTCAAACATCGAGCTACATATGCAACTATATCATTCTTCATTCTCCTTCACCAATAATGCTGCCGTAAATCCTGGTACATCTTGGTGGCACCCGGATGAATAGAATACCGAGAGCTGTGGGCCTCTTCAAGAGTCAACTTATGAAGCCCATCCATATTGGGCATAAAAATATGACCCTGCATCCATAGAACCCCATCATCTCCAAGAGTAACCTGCTTGGCACCACCGTGCTGCACCATGTCCTTAAGGACAAGCAAATGGGGGTCATCATATTGACGCTCTCTATTGCGCTCATACAAAGAAGACCAAGAGACTATACAAGCTAGAACACAAGTGCGCTCCGAAATATCTAACTTCATGAACTGATTGGCCAAAGCCTGAACATCTGATGCAAGTGGCCTCTCACCAACCGGAATGTATGCAAGGGTACCCATACTCATAGCCTTTCTACTGAAGGCATCGTCCACCACATTGGCCTTCCTAAGATGATACAAAATGGTGATATCATAGTCTTTCAACAGCTCCAACCACCTCCTCTGCCTCAAGTTGATATCCTTCTGCTTGAACGAATACTTTTGACTCGATGATCCATGAATAAATCACACGACACGCCGTAAAGATAGTGCCTCCAAATCGTCAGCGCATGAATAATGGCTGCCAACTCTAAGACATGAACATGGTAATTATTCTCATGAACCTTCAACTGTCGTGACGTATATGAAATCACTCTGCCATCATATATCAATGTTGCACTGAGCCCAATACGAGATGCATCACAATACACTGTGTAGGATCTTGAACATGTGGGCAATACCAACACTGACGCCATAGTCAAAGCAGTCTTGAACTTCTGAAAGCTCAACTCATACTCATCCGACCATCTGAATGGGGCACCCTTCTTGGTCAATCTAGTCAATGGGGCTACTATGGATGAAAATCCTCCACGAACCCGGCAAACCCAGGAAACTCTGGATCTCTATAGCTGAAGTAGGTCTAGGCCAATTCTGGACTGCCTTAATCTTTTTAGGATCCACTTTTATGCCCTCTGCCGATACAACATTCCCCCAAAAAGGCGACTAAGTCTAACCAAATCTCACAATTTGGAAACTTGGCATATAGCTGACTATCTCTCAGAGGCCGAAGTATAATCTAAAGATGCTGCTCATTCTTCTCTCAACTGCGGGAGTAGAACAAGATATCATCAATGAATACAGTCACAAAAGAATCCAAATAGGGTTTGAACACCCGGTTCATCAAATACATAAATGATGGTAGGGCATTTGTCAACCCAAATGACGTCACTAGGAACTCATAATACCTATACCGAGTCTGAATAGCCATCATTGGGACATTGGATGCCCTAATCTTCAACTGATGGTAGCCAGACCTCCAATCAATCTTCAAAAAACACTTTAGCACCTTGGAGCTGATCGAATAAGTCATCAATCCTTGGTAATGGATATTTGTTCTTGATAGTGACCTTGTTCAATTGCTGATAGTCTTTACACATCCTCATCGACCTATCTTTCTTCTTTAGGAATAACATGGGCGCACCCCAGGGCAAGACACTAGGTCTAATGAAATCCCTTATAGCAAATCTTGCAACTACTCCTTCAATTCCTTCAACTCCGGCGCGGCTGGTGGAATAGAAATGAGCTGAGTGCTTGGAGACAAATCAATACAAAGTTAATATCCCTGTCGGGTGGCATCCCCGGTGGATTTGCAGGAAACACCTCTAGAAACTCGCGCACAATAGGTACTGAATCCATGGAAGGAACCTCCGCACTTGAATCACGAAAATAGGCCAAATATGCTAGACATCCCTTCTCGACCATACATCAAGCCTTCACATAAGGAATAACCCTGCTGGTAGAATGCCCAACAGTCCCTCTTCATTATAATCGAGACAACCCCAACATGGCTAAGGTCACCACCTTGGCGTGATAATCCAATATAGCATGATAAGGTGACAGTTAGTCCATACCCAAGACAACATCAAAGTCTACCATATCAAGAAGCAGAAAATCTACACTAGTCTCAAGACTCCCAATAGTAATCACACAAGAATGATAGACACGATCTACAACGATAAAGTCTCCCACAGGCATGGACACATACACAGGAGTAGTCAAAGAATCATGAGGTAGAACCAGATATGAAGCAAAATAAGATGACACGTAGGAATAAGTAGAGCCCAGATCAAATAGAACTGAAGCATCTCTATGTAAAAGTGGAACAATACTTGTGATAACAGCGTCAGATGAATCGACCTCAGGCCTAGCTGGAAAAGCATAAATCGGGGCTGGGCCCCAGCACTCTAACCTACGTCCCTGGGACGACCTCTAGCCTGCTAGCCTCCACCTCTAATGGCTTGACCTCCACCTCTAATGGTCGAACCTCCACCTCTGGCTGCATGGCCCCTGCCTCTAGCTGGCTAAGCGGGCGGTGGAGCAACCGGTGCCAGAACCATTGCACGAGGACTCTATTATGGCAAGTCGCCCGACAATCTCGGATAGAACCTCCTGATGTGACTAGTACCTCCAAACTCAAAACACCTATCTTGTTGCTGAAGCTGAAGCTGACCCGAATGGGCCGGATAACCACGTTGATAGCTCTGAATTGGAGGCGCGCTGATAGGAGTTGATAGTGCACTGTAGGCCGGCTTCCTAGAATGAGGTACATAAGGACCACGACTCCTCGAAGCACTGTGAGATGCCTGAAGCGCTGACTAAAATGGCCTGGGAGGATGGCCTCGATAAAAAGTACCCCTGCCTCCAGATGAGGCACCACTGAAACTACCGGAATGAAGAGGCCTCTTGAAGGAAATATCTACGGCCCTCTAGAAGGAAATATCATCTCCAGTATCCTTGGCCATCTGTACCCTGATTGGGAAAGTGAGCCCGTCAATGGATCTCCTCACTCTCTCCCTCTCAGTTGGGAGCAAGATAATGGCATGGCGAGCTAGGTCCACAAATCGAGTCTTATAGTGGGTAACAGTCATACTACCCTGTTAAAGACGCTCAAACTATATGCGGTAATCCTCTCTCAGAGTGACAAGGATGAAATTCTCTTGAACTAGTTGTGAAAACTGATCCTAGGTAAGTGCAGGCGAACCAGCTGGTCTAGTCAACATATAATCTCTCCACCATCTCTTGGCGGAACTAGTCATCTGAAACACTGCAAAATCGACTCCATTAGTCTAACCTATACCCATGTTCCGCAACACCTCGTGGTAGTGGTTTAGATAATTTTGTGGGTCCTCAGAAGGTGCACCACTGAAATGAACAGGAAAGATCTTGGTAAACTTATCCAACCTCAACAAAGCCTTAAAAGACATAGTGGGCCTATCACCAGCGTGTGCCACAACAACCGACTGAACCACCCCAATTGGCGGGGCTGCTGGAGTCTGATGCTGGGGAGCCGCCTGCTTCAGGGTGTGAGTAGAGAGAGTTTGTGCTCCTTCCCCAGCTCAAAAGATGGCTGGTGCCACCAAGAAAGTACAAGTCTGGGCCAGACACTCCATAAGGCCCACCAAACGGACTAGAGCGTCCTGAAGCACTACAGTGGCTATGAACCCTTCTGGGACCTTAGTTGGTCCGACGGGTACAGTCTAAGCTGGAACCTCCTCCTCGTGATCAATATGAGGCTCCACAGTGGGTGTTGCTGCTCGAGATCTAGGTTGAGCTCTACCTCTGCCTCGGCCTCTACTCCTGGTAGTAGCTGTTACAGGGGGCTCCGACTCTTGTCCAGTTGTAGATGTTGTGCGTGTTCTCACCAGCTGCGAGAGAACAAGAATATAATGGTCCAATCATCAATGATGGAATAAAATCGCATGATAAAGAAGGAAATAAGTGAAATTTTTCCTAAACTCCATAGCTTCTGGAAGATAAGTACAGACATCTCCGTACCGATCCTCCAAATTCTATTAAGCTTGCTCGTGATTCATGAGACCTACGCAACCGAGTGCTCTAGTACCAACTTGTCACCACTCAGAATTCCCACCCTCGGGACCGTGATGGCGCCTAACATTTCACTTGCTAGGTAAGCTAGCGTTAGAAATAATTTTTAGCCATCGTTTAACAATTAAAATTGAATAATAACCAAGAAATTGAATAACCTGAAATGAGTGAGTAATCTAAAATAAGAATGATATCTGGATACAATCTTGGAACTAGTGTCACAAGTACACGAGCGGCTAGAGTACTACAAATAAAAGTCTGAATGAAAGAATAACTGTCTAAAATATGGTAAACAGCTAGAGTGATATGAAAGTTGACTCCAAGGCTGCAAACGTCGTGCAGCTGTACCTCAAGTCTTCGTCAAGAAATTAATCTGAGCAATCTACTAAGCGCCGCTAGGATCGACTCCAAAATCTGCACAAGAAGTGCAGAGTGTAGTTTGAGTACAACCGATCTCATGTACTCTATAAATGCGAGCCTATCCTCGACGAAGTAGTGACAAGGCTAAGGCGTAACCTACAATAATATGTATGCAGTATAATCATAATAATAGGGAAGAAAAATAGGAAATAACAGCAAAGCAGTAAACTAATAAAAATAACTCAATCTTCGAAATCAGTAAATCCAGAAATATCAGTCCTCAAAATCTCATGTGATAAATACTGAAAGCTAACACAATACAATAATGAATACAACACACACAATATGTTGCGGCGCGCAACCCGATCTCATCGTACAAACACAAGCCTCCCTTATTTCACCATATCAATATAAAAAATAACATATAAAATCCATTGCGGTGGACAACCCAATCGCACCGTATGAATATCAAAATCCTCCCTTATTCAACCATATTAATATCAAGAATAACATGTAAAATCCGTTGCGGCACGCAATCCGATTCCACCATATAATTAGAATCAATATTATAATCTTCCCTTGTTTCACCATCTCAGCATCAAAATAACATATAAAATCCATCGCAGCGTGCAACCCGATCCATAAACAAATTCAATAGATGTAATCAATTCAACAACTCAATTCAGAAGAATCTCTACGATTAAAGAATATGAAAGCAAGGAAATAAAGGAACCCCGTATTAAATCAAGGAATGCTACAATTATTACAAAGAAACAAGACAAGCAAAATATATTACAGTTAAAGTGTACAAGTACGACAATTATGGCAAGTAGCAATTAATCATGGAATCATGGAAGAAACAAACATTTCAATACAAAAGTAAATAATTGACAAGTAACAAGTTACGACATAGAAAGCAACTAAAGAATGCAGCAGTTAAGATATAGAAAAGGATAATTAATGAAATACGAAAAAGCATGTAAACAATTAATTTGACGGTGTATATACACTTGTCACCTTGCATAATACGCCGTTAGACATGTAATTCACATAACATCTAGTTCAAGGGTTCTTAATTCCTTCGAGTCAAGGTTAGACTCACACTTACCTCGCTCCGCAATCAAATCAAATCTCAACCAGGGTGTTTCCCCTAAAATTCGCCAACAAAACCAATCGAATATAACCAAATTTGATTTAATATCAACAAACAATGCTAGGAAAATCAAATACAATATATAAAGTTATGATTTTTACACTTTTCCCAAAAGATCAACAAAAGTCAACCCCGGGCCCGCTTGGTTAAAACCCGAGATTCGGACCAATCCAATTGTCCATTCAACCACGAGCCCGATTATGTGATTACTTTTGAAAATTCGACCTCAATTTGAGGTCTAAATCTCAATTATATATAAAAAAACCCTAATGCTACCAAAATCTCTAATTTTCTACCATGAAAGAGCATAAATTAAAGTTAGAAATCTATGGGGTTTTGATAGAAATGGAAGAAATTGAGTTAAAGTATACTAACCTACGAAGTGGAGATGAAATTTCTCTTCAAAATTGCTTCTAGGCCGCTCTAATGTGAAGATAGTGAAAAACGAAGAAAATCCCGTCTTTGAAAATTTAAATCACTGGCGTCAGGTGTTCATCGCATTCGGGAGACACCTGATGCGATCGCGAAGCAGCAACGGCCAAAGGCTTTTACATTCGTGAAGGGTTTCACGCATTCGCGATGATCTGTCCCCCTGGCCATTGCGTTCGCGAGCCTGGGCTCGCGTTCGTGTAGAACAAACCTCTGCTCCCCTCCCATACCCTCTTACTCTTCGCATTCACGTAGTGCTAGTCGTGTTCACAAAGGGTGATCCCACCATTACTTCGTGTTTGCATCCACAACCTCGCGTTCACAGAGAGGAAAATACACCCCAACCTAGATTACTCTTCGCGATCGCGGGAGTATCTTCGCGATGGCGAAGAAGGACACACCAGACATCAGCAGACTCAAAAGCCAGCAATAGCCTAAGTCCAAAAATCACTCTGTAGCCTATCCAAAACTCACTCGAGGCCCTTGATCTCCAAACCAAACATGCACACAAGTGTAATAACTTCAACTCGCCTGCGCGACCAAAACACAAAAATAACACCTACAATAATGAATCAGACACTGAAATGAATGATATTTTCAAAGAAACTCAAGAACATGCAATTTACAACCGGACGTCCGAATCACGTCAAATCAACTCCGTTTTGCATAAAATTTTGTAGACAAGTCATAAATAGTGAAACGAAAATATAGCAAGTTCTGGAACCTAAATCCAAACCCGGTTGCAACAAAGTCAACCTATGGTCAAACTTAGGAATTCCTTAAATCTTTAAATCGCTAGTTTTTAACAAATTACGTTAAATCAAGTTAGGGACTTCCAAATTCGATTCCGGGCATGCGCCAAAGTCCCAAATCACGACACGCATCCACCGGGTCCGTTTACATAAAAGGTTGACCGTAGTTAACTCAAATGAATTTTAAGGTAAAATTTCACATTTTCTTCAATTTTTCACATAAAAGTTTTTCGAAAAAACACATGGGATGCACACAAATTGAGGAAAGCTAAACGGAGCTATTCGAGGTCTCCGAACATAGAAATGAAGGCTAAAACTGAAAATGACCTATCGGGTCATCACAAATTCATGTTCGCGTGTGAGAGCCTGACTTACAAATGCGAGGCTCGCAATTGTGATCAGGTTCTCGTAAATGTGAGACCTGCAACTTGACACCAGCAACTATTGGGCACCTGTAGTTTCAAATGAGTCTGCCAAGCATCTGTAACTCACCCGAGCCCTCCGTGCTCCAAACCGAACATGCACAAAGTGTAATAATATCGTATAAATATGCTCGCTACCTCAAATCATCAAAATAACATTCTATAAACTTGATCGCTACCTCAAGAAAGTTAGGGATTTGAAAATTTTACCATTTCCAACTTGCAACGATACTCGTGAGAAAGAATATTAACTTATTTTTTCTGTCCAACTTTGAAATGCAAAGAAGAGGTGGAGACTGTTGCTGCTAACAAGATTAGAAGTTGACTTCTGAAATTAATGCGTATTAATGGTCTTATGGGTATGCAGTAGGTAGTCGTCCCCAGACTGGTAGTGTTATTTTCTTTTCTTCTTTTCCCATCTGGTGTCCGCATTTGGGCTCAACTATATTCGAATTTACATAAGAAAGTCTCACATAGGTCTATGAAAATTTCTTGTGATTCTCCTTCTTTCTTCGACGATGGCATATACGCATCGATAGGGAACCCAAAAAGAGCTAGTAAAAGGAAAGCGACATCATAACTTAATAGCTCCATTTCTTGTTCCTGAGCGGCATTAACAGAAAATGGAACTATCGAATCACTGGTGATTCGCTTTATCGGGATGGGAGGAATTGCAACATCGGCATTTCTTTCCTTCCCTAAATCCCCCATCCTCGGGTCCTGAAAAAGACACTGATCAGAGACGAAAATTATACTGGAGTTTAGGCTTTTTTTGTTAAGGAGCTCACGGACAAGAGATTAAAAGATGGAAGGAGGATTAGGGGTACGACAGATAAGAAGAGCGACCCAAAAACGGAAAGAAGAGTATGAGGGGTAAAATACTTCCTAACAAAGACGTGTTCATAGGCATAACTGAAATTCGAAACCTCTAATTAAAAATAGAGAAATAATTATCACTTCACCACAACCCTCGGTGATAGACTGTTAATGATATCCCACTAGATATAAAATTATCAACCCAAAGACATGGTTAGATTTATAAAATCTAGGACTAAATAATCCTCATATAAAAAACACAATGGCAATGACTTGAGATGACGTCTACCTCTTTTAATTCTTCATTCTTTTTTCGTTTTTCTTTTTTCGACAAGAAATGACTACATTTGTCACAGTAGAAAGATAATAGGGTAATGCTCTTTCCTACTTAACTTCTGATTTCAAAATTATTTTACTATTATATTTTGTTTTATTGAGCTAATTATTCGACTAACATCCTTTAAATTATCAAATCATGATTCATCTAAAAAGGAAGTTAGCCGCCCCTTATAACAACGCTATCATAAGATTGTTGACTTTAATTATTGAATTAACATTTATTTCTTTATGATGTAATGGAGGTCAGGTGTCATCACGAATTTTGCTTGATATGTCCGACATAATTCAGCATGTTCTTATTTTTGTCTTATATATCTGGTTTTGGCTGGATTTTGACAGGGTCATAAGGAAAATAAAATTTTACATGACTTTGTGCATGATTTCGAGTAGAATTAGTACGAGATAAAATGACGAAAGTGTTTACCCTTAAAGACGGAGAACAATTAAATTTGTAAATGATTTTAGCGAAACGCGGATTAATTCAATAAAAAAAATAAATTATGTTAGATTAAATAGATAAATGACGTAATAAATTGTCAAACCAATCAAGGGAAGTGATTCTGGACTCAGTAACAGCTTTAATGAAATGCCTACCTTCGATCCCGGCTCACGTTAATAGTGGACTAATGAACAAAAGTAAGAATTTTGAATAACAGAGCAAATAAGAGTATATTGCCTTGATATGCGTGTTACAATGCCCCTATTAAATAATCAGACCCATCTTTATACAGTAGGAGAGTTTTACTCTAAGTACAATTCCATAAAAGTAAAAATTATCCGTTTTACTAATCACTGATTTTTTATTGATACGTGCTGAGATTCGCGTCGTGACATCCGGTTGGTCACGGATATCGTGGCCTTTTGTTGGTCGTGCTTGATTATCTGGTAATGCTCTCCGAGGTTTTTGGGGTTCGAACCAAACCTGGGGTCGTGGCCCTGAACTTCCAAGGGTAGGCGTTTTGCACGGATCCCCGTTCGAGGGGCTCTTTGCCTCGATTCCGGTCCTTACAGTCATGTATCTTGCTCCGTTTATTTCATCAAAAACTGAGGCATCCCACCGGCTTGGTTTCACCCTTATACAGATAGTCCCATCATTTCTCGGAGAGTACGTTTACGGAAACATCGAGAAATGATATGTGTACT